GAAAAGCTTCGAAGCCGGTGGATTGAATGAGGGCGAGAGGACTATTTGATCACTCGAAGAGAAATTGTTGTAATTCAAATAAAAAATAAAACTCAAAAAGTAGCAGGAAAGATTGTTGAACGAGATAACAGTCTGGGTGTCTCTCACTAAAGCATACTATTCGTCTCGCCCTGTGAATAGTGCAATGTTAACAAGGCCGGCATAACACGGCCACTTTGAGTGTCTGCCTAGGCCAAAGAGGCTATGCAGCCCTGATTACGCGCCTTGTCTAGACCGTTCTTTGGACCGACAAGGGCCCATTCTTGGTAGCCACAGATTCCTTCCAGCGGTCCGCCTGCCTAGGCCAAAGAGGCTATGGATCCTTCATTACGCGCCCTGTCTAGACCGTTCTTTGGACCGACAAGGGCCCATTCTTGGTAGCCACAAATTCATTCCAGCGGGAATTTGAGAAACCGTATTCATCGCGAAATGTGCCTTTAAATAATGGCTAAGCGAGAGGCACAGGTTTTGTGAAATCAACAACTAATAAATAACTAAAATCTACATAAAATGTATAGCAATCATCAAAAACTGAGTACTTTTATTCAATTTTATTTGATAATAACGTCGATGGCAAACAATGCACCATCACAGTTCAGCACTCTCTTTATGTACTTTGTCGACACTGCAAGTGTGAGTGGAAAGATATAGAGAGTCGCCGCGGACTCACTGCCGCTGACCGTGGGAATTCGGGGGGAGGTTCCACCACCCCGGTAAGAGTGGGGTTTCATGGAGCGGAACTGGGCAGCCCTCGATAAGTTGTCGATGTACGACGGATTCTATAGCGTGAATAACGTCTAGCGAAATACGCCTGAATTTTCGAATAATTTCTATTTTTCTGGGGTGCAGGTGATGTAGTGACAAGTGGCGCACCTTCACACTTGCATGGTCACGGGATCGAATCCCAGGTTGAATTTGCCTAGGCCAACCGAACCTTTCATCCTTCCGGGGTCGGTTAATTGGCACCAGACTTGTCTGCGAGGATAAAACAACTCACTTGTACATCGGCCGGCCACCGCACATTGTATAAACCACACACGCGTTTAATACGCCACTGCGATCTTGAAGGGAAGTCGAATGCAGGGCGCATCCCTCAGATGGGATTGATTTACGCTCACAGACTTATCCTTTATCCTTTATTTCATTTCCTACCAAAATAAATGAAATGCTATTCAAAATAATGGGCACACCCTAACGTGGGTGTGACTCATGTTTTGGAACTTTTCGGCTAGTTTTTTACTGCCCTTTGTGGTGGTGAGTCATTAGCCTTTGGATTGATTGGGTAAAAATGATGTTTCATAGATTTACAGAGGGTACGTCTGGTACGTCTAACACGGCTGAATTTTACGAAATTTTGAGATTAAAAAGGCTCTCTCATTCTCGATAGTTTTAAAAATTGAGGTTAATACCCACATGAAAAGGGAATGCAGACGTGACCACATTGTCATGGGCGAGTTCCATAGTAGTATGCACGTCGGGGCGGATATTCTGTATGATCGACTGCATACGCAACACCTCTAATTAAAGCCATAAAAACATAGAAAAAAGGTTCGGAGCATCAAGTCTTGGAGCGCTTATCTGTCTGAGGGGTGCGCCCCGCATTCGACCTCCATTTAGAATCGTATAGGAAGCGTATGCTGCCTATACAATGACTTGCGGAGGGCAGCCGATGTAGAAGTCAGGGTTTTTATCCTCCCAGATGGATCTGGTGCCAATTAATCCCGAACCCCGAAGCGATGAGAGATTAGGATCGCCAAGGCGGATATAGATCCGGGATTCCAACACGTGACCATGAGTATGCGATAGCGCGCCACTTGCCAATACGCTAACTCGGCCCTCGACCAATTTTTCTACTGAAACCTCGTTAGACTACGTTCCGATAAATTGTAACAAAATTAGATCCAGTTTTTGTTTAGAATGAAACGTACTGAAATCGCACATCAGTTTTTAGCCTGTCGTCATTCCAAAAAAAACTTCCACTTTCATGATCTCAATAAGTCATACAAATGGTAAGTCTCCATGGCACTGTCCCACCATTTAGCCTGAGTGATTTAGAGTGAAGATTGTTATGGCTTAGTTATAAACTATCGCTCATCTTATTACCAGTAAAAAACCGCAAAAAGGTTGCGTGGTGATGGATATCAACATATTCACGTCATACATCCCCTTAAAAGAGTTTGGTGGGAATCTAGCCATTTCAATTGGAAGTTTGAAAATTGAAATTGAAATAAACGACGTTGAAAGCATTTCAATTATTGTTGACGTTACTATTAATACAAATGAATGTCAGAAGCGTGGAGTCAACCCAAAACAGGACCAACTTAATATTCACTCCGTTCAGTTTGAGTAAAGCGATGACGGAAAAACCGAAAAAACGGTGAAAGTTGCAGAGAGAGAGAGAAACCGGCAATGAAGTTCAGTGTTCACGGTTCTACTGGATTGAAGACACACTTCGTGCTGACAGTGGAGCTCGAGCCCTCGAGCAGAGATCCGTGAAAAAACCTCGGTTTCATATTCTGTCCAGTGTTGATGATTGCTTTGGATGGGTATACAGATTTCCTTTCTTGACTTTCTTCAGGGCATAGACGGTGATCCAATGTAAGGAAAAGTAAGTTCTAATTCCGTCCTATGAGTAAATCGACTCTATAGTTAAGTGCTAGCGCAATGCAAGAATTTCACTGCACCTGAATCACCTGCCGTCCCGTCGATCATCGATTTCCTCGGTCAGAGGCCAGAAAGGACTCCATTCTTCCATGTCGCGAGTCGGTACAGTCAGAGAATCGTCCCACTCGAGGTACACGAGGCACAATATTTCATTCGATCAGAGTTTCGTGAAGAGGTCTGATCGTTTCGTTGGCGGCCATGCTTACGTTCATTCGACTTTTCGAAAAATTTTACATAAAATAAATGATTATTTTTAACAGGCTGACGTGTTTTCCTTCAGAAACCATAATTCTAACCCAGGCAAACAAAATCTACTGTAGCCAAATCAGCCGCTGCCCTAAACAGACTTTGCATGTATTGGTCCTACCTGAGAGACGACTTCTCCGGAGGCTCCCAATTGTCAGTATATCTGTATAACTCGCATTTTTTTCACAAATGCTCTTTCAATCTTCTTCAGTCCCATAATTGAAATATTGATGTCATTCTGTGGAAGAATAGATTATAATGAATAATGAATTCACATCGTAAACTTCAACGCTCATTAAGGTTTCCATGCCAGCACCTATAAGTTAGGAAATGAAGCTCCCATTGGTGATGCCGTCTGTTACAATCTAGTTGAACGTTTACCTCATTTCTACCAGCCGGCTTTCTGGGTGGTTAGGTTTGAGGGGGAGTAAGGTAAAGCAAGCCGTTGTCTCAGCTGTCGTTAACAACCTCCCTACCGAACACTCACCAAGCCGGCTGTCCTAATCTTATGCAACAAGTGATGACTTCCTACGTTTCAGCGATCCAAGTCTGTGAGATCTGCAGATGAATGCTTTCGTAAACGTCGTCAGAACTTCCTTGATTATTCACTTTCTTCTCGAGCATACTACAACGTGGCCGGTAAAATCCGCGACGGATCAGGGAAGTGGATCGAGATTCACCGAAAGCACCTCTTTCAACGTATCAGATTTGCTTTCAACAGGTTCATCAGATTCGGGAAACTCCTTTGCCACGGCTGCTATCTTAGTACAGAGCCACTATTGAAGGAGCGCAAGAATGAAATTTTTTGGCTAGCCCCCGAACACCTTCTCCCTCTGGTACCGTAATTCTTGGATCAAACATTTTATTTAGTTGTCAACCTACCGTTCGTTAAACTTTTCTAGGAGCACGAATCCAGGATTGTACTAGGTCAACCGATATCAATTTTGCCAGCTTCAGGAGGGAATACCAAAGATGAGGCTGAGTACTTTTGATTGAAGGAAACTAATGATGGAACTTATGATGCCCCTGTTGTGCAAATCTCCTTGGTCAATTCTTTTGCTGGCCACATCCCTTTCACCTACACCTTGCATGCGAAATAGGTCCTAAACAAAGATTGTATTGTTTGATCTGTGCAACTCAGCTTTCAGCAACTGATCAGCCAGAAGAAACTAATCAAACGACAGTGAGCGCTCTTCACATATGTTCAATGTGTGACCCGTTCGGAACGTTGGCCTGTGCGAATGGAACAAATGAAGTGTCCTGCGTCTGCAAACCACATTGGGAAGTAAGTTAGAGTGAATTTGTAAACGCACTCACGCCAGAGACATGGGTGGAATGTTCGCTGTTTGGGTTCAACCTCAGAACATCCTACCCACGCGCTCAGAGCGATCTATGGCTCCTAGTTTACTTCGATTTTTCACTTTCCGTCGAGCAACCGCCGCTGAAGAAACAAATTTCGAACTTTTTGGAATGGTACTCCGATTATTTGCAGGTCTCAAGCTCCACTCCAATCTGCCAGCACTTCACTGCAGCTGGGTTTTTATAGCCCGTTCTCATATCTTTGAGTTACAGGGAACTTACTGTAGGCAGGCCCCAAACCAATGTAACCTGACGAAGCTCGATTGTGGTGAACACGGTCATTGCACTTCCGAAGTCGATATAGTAAGTACTTATACGACTTAGGCTCAAGTGTTTGTCGGCTTCAAAAAGATTTTCAGGCAGTTTGCACTTGCAATGATGACTACACGGGGGAACATTGCCAGATTGCAAAGAACAAGATCTCATTCAATTCGGAAAACTCGGTGATTGTTACTATGAAGACATTGATCTCGTTGTAAACATCTGCAAAAAGTGGCAGAATGAATCGGAAAACTCTTTCGAGCTGTTCAGAGCTGAGCTGAATGCAATTGAGAAGGATCCTTCCACGAAAGAGTCTTGGGAAAAAGACCTACTCTTCCATCCTCACCTTCACCGTAGCCACGGCTTTTTACTCTGCCCTTTAAGCCTCTGATCCCATGGGTGCATATAAAGAAAAACCAGAAGCTGATATCGGTTGTGCCAGCAAATTTGTACTTCATGACGAAGGAATCTAATGGGCCTGTCATGACCTCAGTTCCCTCTCTAGTTGAGAGAACTTTAAAAGCGTTGCTCTCACCTTCTCTAGGGAGTTGTCACATCATGCCAACTAGTCCTAGAAAAAGAATTTATAATCATTTCAAAGTTGATTCCAGTTTTGAATTCCGAGCGACTGCTCATCAATTTGCAATTTTAGGTTTCTTTGCTATCTGAGACCACCTTCTGTGCTCTAATTCTTGTTATTCTCGAGTTCACAATGATATTCTTGAGAGGAGTACTTGCAATGCACTGTCCCTGTTCAGATCAGGTTCGTTCTTTGAAGATTTTGACCCATTCAAACTACCAGAAGGCCCTTCGACCCTTGGACTGCTACTTACCCAAGTGCTCTACTTGCCGATGTAACGTCGAAAGAATCATCAGGGAAAGGGGGACAACATGCAGTTATAAGTTTTCTTCGCTTACTCATTCATTTCATATATAGATAACTCACCATGGGCTATTAAGTGGGTACCCGAACAAGGCTTGAGTGGGGGTTCGAGCATGCATTTCCCCTGAAATTCACATCTCTGGAAATACCCCGAGCAGAATAAGCAGCATTACTTTATTGGAGCGACAAATAACCTTAATGTTATGAAAAGGGATCATCCCATGAAACTGGTAAGAACTTTTTTGTCTAGCACTTCTACTTTTTAGAGCACACAGAAATTCTGTCAAACTATTCGTTCTTTGGCAATACTGCTCGCATCACTCGTTGTTCTACTTTTTCAACATCCAGCAATTTTTAACATCCCTGCAATGGAGTGCAAATTATGGTTTTATGTAGCCACGATTTGCTTCTCAATTGGTGAGTTTAGATTGTTTAACAAGCGGTAGAAGTCTACAATCACCTTGTCTCGGATGGAATAGTGAATGCTCCCTTCTGCTGGTCAAAACGACTGCTTTCAGAAAATAGAGGATTCCTACTGACTCTGCCAGTTGTTAATCCCTTGAAAACCTCGGACTCCATTTACCAACCGTAGGCAGAATGTGCTGAGAGAAAGTTGATCACGTGGCACATTTGTGGTGTAGTGGCAAGTGACGCACTTCACTCACGTATGGTCACGGGTTCAGGAATCCCCGCTCGTCATCCGTCTATACCAACTAAGCCTCCCATTCCTTCTGGGTCCATTTGTTGATACATGACTCGTCTGGAAGGATAAAAGCACTGACTTGGAAATTGGCTGGCCACCGCAAGTCATTGTGTAGGCCACATGCGCATTCAATAGACCACCACGATTCCGAATGGAATTCGACTGCAAGGGCGCATCCCTCAGACGGGATTGATTAACGCCCCATTACTTATCCATTATCCTTTTGTCGCAGCTGAGACATGAGGGAAGTAAAAAAGGAGTTTTCAAAGGTATCGGCTCGTTTGCCATGGAGGCGTTCAGTAATGAACTAGCGGTGCGAACGGAACAGAGATGCTCGTCTTGGTCATGTAACTGCAATGAGCAATCACAAGGAGTGTCAGCAAAGCCGTTTGTGAGTCTATCGCTTGGCAGTTTGACGACGAACAATGCGAGCTCCAGACCTTGATTTCGATCATTTCAGCCAGCGAAAATGATTCCTATTGCGTTACTCTCTTTTGCAATCACTATACCTTACTTTTCTCAGTACGGACAGGTTGGTTTTCCGCACGGACAGTCAGGGTTTCCTTCTTGATTCAGCGTAACATACTGAAATCAGGGCTTAAAAGTGTCTTTGGCTTCGACGATCTAACTTGTGAATTGCCTTTTCTTTGATGTCATATTCCTAGAAGTAGCTCCAGAAATCCAAAGAACCAACTTGAGCAACACTAGAGCCTTCTTGTCCCGAAGCTATGCAGAATACTCATTTGGCCACTGCCCGACTGTTCCTTTTAAGTACTTTTCCATGGCCAACAACCTTTTCTTCTTCTAGGTCACATCATCGTGGAGTTGTTTGGGACGATTCAATATGGATGCAATCGACTTTTGGTATCCCATTGTTCTGCTGAATTTCTGTGCTGCCTTTGCAGCCTCGGTTGCTTCCTACTGCACTTTCTTCGTGGAGAAGAATCTACCGCAATTGATCGTAGAAGAGAGCGCCTTTCACGAAATCAATGCCTTGATCGGGAAATACTTAGTTGAAAGTGTAAATTGTTTTCTAATTGGTTTGAATGCCAGCATTCCGTTTTTCGCCGAATTTCCTTTCGTCTTCTTTCAAAACAATCAAAGTCACAGTTCACGATAATTTTGTGTTATCTAGTTCCAGACGAGTAATGGAAATGATAGTCCAGAATAACGCAAAAGTGAAGAGCACGCAAAAATCAGCGCATTAAGAGGAATATAAGGCTTCAAACAGTTGTAATTATTGGGGGATTGGACAGAACGCGAAGACAAAAGTTGCACGGAAGGGGTATTCGAACGATTTGCTCGCCATACTCGTCCGCCTAGTGTCGTCGGCCAGGCCGGTTCTAGGGGCCCCTATCACGCCCTATCTTGACTCTTTTTTGATCCGTCGGCGTCCCTTTGGCTATCCTTAGAGGTCACAAATTCATATTAGGGAAAAATCTCATTAACCACTTCTAATGTGAACTGTGCCCTTAATAGCTCCGTGTTTTGCTTTCTAAATTAACCAGGTGCGGCAAAATGGATAGGTCTGAGTATCTATGAAATCATTACAGTGTCAATTGGAAGCGGTTATCACAACGCTCGGCCCATGGTTGTTACTGGGTTTATGGTTGACCTTGGCGATCTCTAGTGAATTTCTTTCCCTGACATCTGTGAGCAGGTATACCTGACCCTTTTGGCGCGGGGTCTATGTTGTTCGGCGCGGTTACTTCCATCGTGCCACCCGCTTGACGAGGTTTCTGTGCTGGACAGCTCGTCCAGGTAATTCAACCTCCTGACCATCTAATCGATGCAAAGAAACAGAATACAATTAGGTACAAATTCGGCATCTAATAGTAGTGGCGTCATCGATCGGGGGTGTATCAGCTGGATGGGCAATGGGTTGGCCGATTAACAGAGTCAGGAGGGTGAATCGCATGGACGAGTTGTCTAGCTCGAAAACCGCGTCGAATGGATGGCGCAATGCCAGGGGCCGCGCCGAACGACCACCTCCAATATTTTTTTTTTCTAAATGGAGCTGTGATCTTAAAGTTCGCCTTTCCAGTGCAGCACTCGTTTTTTCATTCTTCTACGCAATATGCAGCGTCATACAATTGATATTGACAACACCTTTCGTGAGTTTTCCCGGAGAAATGGGAATAATCCCTGAATAATCCTTCACAACCGCCGAAATTTTAGCTCTACAGCAAAGCCATACAAGTCACGAGCAAGTTACTGCCAGAGCGATTTTCATCCCCCCTAGACCCTGTGAACTTGATGACACGAGAAGAAGTTCTACAAAAGCGCCACGGAAGAAAGCTACAGGTTAGGAACCTCTCATTAATTGAACGCTAGTAGTCTCATTGTCGTTCTAGATGATAGGAAATCTGTCACGAAGATTTTTCACCATTAATATCATTACTTGCTCACAAAAATATTCATGAAGATCGTTCGACGCAGGCCATATTAGACTACGTACTTTGTTGTTTTTACCTCTAGGAAATGACGTCCTCGTTCTGAAAGGTCATCTTTAGTAGGAGAGAAATAACCCAGTTTTTATGAGACTTCCGGGTTATTTTCGGGACCTGCTAAAATTGGATTCGCGGCGCAAGGTGTTCGATGTGTGCATGGTTCACAAACTTCTGTACCAATGCAATGATTTTGGCGCCTTTGACGTTTACAACAAAACGCATTCTCGGACGAGAGGTGGGCAGACTAAAATTATTCTGCCTGGGCCTAAAACCAAATTGAGAACCACAAGCTTCATTTTCAGAGCTGGTAGTCTGTACTTAAAAGTAACAAAAAATCTGATCGTCCCCGAGGCTTTGAATAGGTTCAAGCGTAAAATGACAGTGGTTCTAACCAAGCATGAGCTTTCCTAGTTTTCTGAGATTGATCAAATGATTCCATACTTGCGTCTTTATTTAATATCTGGGTTGATGCTGCTTATGTGTTGTGTGGTTATCGTCTAAGTTTGCTTTGTGTACCGCTTTTAACTCTGTTTCGCCTGGTCTATTATGTTGATTTTAGAAGCTTCTTTTTTACTGCGTTTGCCTTAGGCAGCGTAATAAACATAACATAACATAACATAAAATAGGGCCCACGATGCAAAATACTCCCGGGCTAAGAAGATCACAGAGACTACAGAGAGCACTAAGCTTCAACTCTGCTCTGTTTTTCCTTAGTGTAAGGTTTAGGATTTTCAGAATTAAATACCATGAGTTTTTTCCATGAGAAAAGCTTTACTCTGAGATTTTCTCCACTCAAAACCATTTCCTTGGAGCCATGTTCGTTCCAATATAGGGCATCCTGCTACGAAATGCTAATCATCCAGGAGATTTCGGCGTCCTTACTGAGGATTTTCGCCCGATTTCGGTTTCATTCCACTGTTTTACTCAACAAATTTGAATGCGTTGTGTCAGAGACTTCGGCGGTTTTCGTCCAAAGTAACAAAGGTACAGTCTCCCGCGTTGATCAACGCGGGAGACTGTACCTTTGTTACTTTTTCATAAGGTTCTGAACTTAGTGCTTACACTTGTGGAACGCTCAGAATTTCAGTCATTTAAATTTCATTCAAGAATTATTTGACTGAGTACAAACGGAAGCTTTTGCAAAACAGTTGGATGGAAGCTTTCATAAAGTCAAGATTGGAGCAGGAAAATGCGGGTGAAGGCAACCCCATCTATGTAAGTTTCCATTTTGATTTTGTAGAATTTTCATCAAACGAAAGCCTCTTCAGAAATATTTTCAAAAGGCTTTTGGAAAAACAATTCAAAATTAAGCCTCTTACATGAAAAACGCGAAGAGAGGATCTTCCTACCGACTGAATCGAGAAAGTTTCTATTCTTGATGGATGACTGATAGAGCTGAGGGATAGGCTTATATGTATGTGTGCTTGAAAAACAGTAAAACGGTCCCAAGATCGGAAGTAAAGCTTTAGTTGAGTGTCCTGGTAAAGATATCAATGGACCAGTTACGGATACCAGCAAGAAGGACCCGCCAGCTTTCAGTCCATCTATCCCCATGCCGCCTAAGGCTGTTTTTGAAGCCCTGTGAAATCACCGCCTGAAGGTTGCCCAAACTTACAATTAGTACGTCGCTCGATACCTGCACAAACACTCATATGGAGTTTTTCCAAATTTTCACATGCTGCACCTCTTTGAGGTAGGTGCTCGAGGGGACAATGGAACTTGTTATGAAAATTCTAGATAGACTTCATCACATCTATTTTGAAGATGTGCGGGAGTATGTGTTGCAGCCAGAGGCACAAAATGGAGGAATAGAATAGTAGAATTCATCCCGAATGATATCACTTATATTACGTAAATAATCTGTCTATTCGTTCAAGGACCTCTACATCGGTGAGTACGACAACCATAATCATTACGGAGAAACGGCTGCCGTTCGTGAACAATGCAGGTGAGAGATCGTTTGTATGGAAGATGCGAAATTTTCAAGCTTTTCCTTACTCATTTCCGTTCCATTTCGCCATTCCAGGGTATAGCGCATGAACATGCATACCTAGAGGAAAAACTTCATCAAACAAACGACGCTGAACGCAGATTTCTCACTTACATAGAACTTTTTCAATTGGTCTATCTTGGGTCGGAAGTTCCAAGCATCTGAGCTCAGAGTAGAGTGAATGCCAACGAACTGAGTCGGTTTTATGAAAATGTGCCTTTAGAGATGGACTCAAGGACGAGGGTCTAAATCTCTTGAGAGGAATCTCTTTTTCTCTTGAGAGGAATCTCTTTTTCATCTGAGAGAAAAAGGATTCATCGAGGGAAGCGCGTAGGTATGGGAAAGAGCGTATGAGTGTCGCAAAGAGGGTGCCCTCCCATGACCGGAATAACCTCAGAGTTGATAGTAGTCGTCAAATGGCAGTAACCGGTATGCTGGGCACTCCCACCCACACACTATTGGGAGCTGCGCTTCGAATTAGTGGTTGATTGCTCACTTGAATATTTTGGTTCAAGTTATTATTAGTTAACTAATTATGATAGTTATAACTACTTATAACAACTTAATAGTATTTCAGGTGCTTCTTCAGAGAATGGGCGAATCAGACAATGTTGACCGACCCGCAGGGAGATACCTTGAGAAACATCCCACCCGTCAAGGCTCGTCTTGTCTATATCAATTGACTAGCATGCATCAGAATAAAACAAGAAAAACTAGCCGGGCTTCCCTGTTGTCAGAAGTAGAGACATAGAAGCATAACTGGATATTCATCAGGGACTGACACACCGAAACGGTCGTGAGCGTGCACAAGGAAAGTTCGTTTCCAACCACTTCGTGAAAAGATTTGTTTCAGACTGATTTTGCTGAAAAAAAGCACGACGAAGTATTTGAAAACCTCGGAATAGGATTGCCAAAGGCACCGTCGAATCCTGTGAAGCATAGCAAGTACTGGGTACGTTTATTGACCTTGATCAGACAAGGACGTGGAAATGAACCGCAGCGTTTGGAAGTTGCTATTTTATTCGTTATTCAAGCTTTTGGATACATCACCTGAGCAATGGAGATCAGTAGACCCAATTGAAAGTCCACCCATGTTCGTGGCTCACACTATCACACGGTATGAACTGGGGAACGTATCCCGGAACGGTATCGGCCCAGGCGACCAAGCGCCGCAGCCTAGAGGTACAGTTGATTGGTACCGGACTTCTCGGGGAGGATAAAGCACCGAATTGAACATTGGCTACTGCACCGCCAGTCATTGTACATATAGGTCACGAACGCATTCAAAGCCGCTGCGATTCTGAAAGAAAGTCAGATGCAGAGGGCAGTCCAGAACCTCAGGATGTACTGAAGTCAAAATAACTCACTCAAATCTTTCTTTTACATGAATTGATTATAACCTCGAAACGTATATTTGCTTTTTCAGCTTGCACTGGACAGCTATTTGAACGAAATGAAGTGGGATCCATTCCAAATATGTCCACTTCTGATAATTAATCAACAGGGAAATACGATTGAGAAGACATTTCTGCGAACACCAATGAGCATTTTGTGCGGAAAGGTTGTTTAAGTTTTTAACAACCAAAATTCGCTTGTGTAAATCAATTTCGGGAATTCCAGATGACAGAATTTTTACGTTTCCCATTGAAAACTCAACAGGGAAGCTGCATGCACAGTGGGTTAACTGAACCGCTTTATAAGTAAACGGCCAAACTTCCTTGGAAATGATCTCAAATCTATCTCGTCACTAAACATCTTTATGGCATTTGAAGATTTGTTGTCACCTCATCCAGGAGTCTCTCCATCATTCCATGGGTTTCCGACTTACCCTATGTCATACCACTGGTTGGAAGCAAGCCTGGACTTATTCTGTTCATCATTGTCACTGCTATTATCAGAGCTAGTGGAAAACGCTAGATTGATAAAGCGAAGAGATCAGGCAAAGCGATAGTATACGGTAGTGCCACCGTACTCTCACTTTGCCAAACCCCCAGAGATTCGTGGTAGGCAGACCGCTGAACATACCCACCTCTAACGGTATGAGCCATTTCACCGATATTTGCGCTCTCAAATTTCCCATTGACCGGTACTTGTGCCCTAAAGTCTCCCACTGTATACTAAATAGTAGGGAGAAAGATTGCCTATAAATGACTGACTGCAATCCTTTCCATTGTATACAAACTTTAGCGCCTGATCATCATTTAATATTTATACATATATATAAATCATTTAATGTATGTATATACATATATAAATGTCATTTTGCAGGTATTAGAAGAATTGATTCAAATGGAAAATGTTGTGGAAGACGAAACAGAGGGGTGAGTCATCCAAGCCAATCATTTAGAGTCATCCAAGCTTTGGAAGAATAGATATGTCAATTCAGAACGAGTGCGGAGACAGCTTTCGCAATTTTGTTCAAACTCAAATTTAGCTGCTACTGTTGCACTTCTGAGAAACAAGTTTCAAAGGGTACAGTACACTGCCCATCACTTGACGAGAGAGTTCAAAGGGGAGGAGTTCAAATAGCAAAACACCCTGTGTTGACGATTACCTAACAAACGCAAATGGGTATACCAACGCATTTCTACCACTGCGTTTCAACGGCGTTACCTGAAGGCGAGGGGTTGTACCGTCAAGAGTTTTATGGGGAAAGGTTTGTGACGTGAGTAGTGGGTAAAAAAGTCCCAGGCGATTGCAGACATCCCTTTCCAGGAGAACTGAAGGGGTGGAGGACTTCCAATCCCTTCATTCCGCTCGGTCTGCCTATTTTTAGAAGTTCCAGGAGCCTAAAGTAATACTTAATTTTCAACTGAATTATATCCGATATTTTGAATTGAACTCTGGTGTGGTTGTGCCGATTATGCCATTTTCCTTCCTCAATCCATGTCTGACCCTTATTACAGCTGCACATGTGGAGAAGTGGGAAGAGTTGAAGTTAAGGCTGTTGATGAGTTCGACCCTCAATGGATGATGTCAAAAGAAGACAAGATCCAGATGAAACTGAAGGTAAGCGACTTGGGCGTTTTCAAGAAACCCCCACTCATCAAGTGCCTACATTGCAGAATTATTCTGATGCAGTTTGGCTCACCATAAGCCAAAATTGGGATTACTTGGAAAGATCTAAAGCGATGATAGAATAGTTCAACAGGTAACATCAGTTTCTATCTCCAATTATCCAAACCTCGTTGAAGCACTTGGTTACGGATTCGGTTTTCTCGGAAAGCTAGAAGGGTTAGTTTAACGCTAGGGTTTCAGCTCCAGGTTTCCTCAAAAAGGCCAGACACCGGACGTAGATTTGAAACACTTGAAATACTACCCTCTCCTATAATCAATAATTTCAATGATAATTTCAATTTTCCAGATCGATGAAAACCCGACATTTTCAAGACAGATGTGTTTTCGTGGGCTACGGTGATGTTTTGGCTGGCCAAAACTGATGATGACACCCATATCTATAACAGCACAGTATATAAATCAAATTACATTTCTGTCCTAAATGACTATAGCTTCTGATTTTCTTCGCCACCACCTTCACAGCTTGTATTGGTCTTCATTTTGCGCTTTGTAGAAGTTAATAGTACCAATTAACGTTTTTCTTCTGTTTACAGCCCGAGTTACCTGGCTTGAAGTGAGGTACTGTTGACAATTCCATAAATGCATCATAGTACCCAATATCCGAAAGTACCATTGACCTTCACCTTTCGAAAAGATAGCTGAATCTGCTTGCATGCTTGTTATAGTAGTATATCGCTACAATCAATCTTGTGCTGTTTTTGGAAATTCAAATAAATAAATACAACCGATAATATTGAAACAAAGTATTAAGATTATAAGGGAGGAGAGGGGGGGGAGGGGAGGACAAGCCATTCAACTTCCGTTTCGCACATGCCCTAGACGGAAGTCAAACTTGAGAAAGTTCACATCGACTTAAAGAAGTTGGGAAGTGGGTGTGTAGTGGGAAGTGGACGCAGGCACGCATGATCCAGGGATCGAATATGGTTCGGCCCAAACCAACTACTGCTTCTCCGAGGTCTTATGGTATCAGACTTAGCGGATCACTGCATGTCTTTGATCGCTATGACGATTCCGATCGGAAGTCGATTCGGGCTGTATCCCAGGAACGGGATTGATCAATGCTCCAGAACTTACTTTCTCGTTTTTGATCCGAAAAAGATGAGGAATGTCTTAGAACACCTTCTTTACCGAGCAGGGTTTCGTTCCCGATTCCCGACATCATTCGTGCAGCAAGAGCGGCTATAGTGGTTTGAAGGTTGTGAAATCCCTGAAAGAATGAAATAAGGGCTAGAAATTTGGATCAAATATTGAGAATTTCTGTACAGAGGAATTCACAACCGAACTCCAACAAACAAGCCAACTACTCGAGGCTCGAGTAACCAGCATGGCTCATAAGGAAAGACTTATTCATCGTCAACCATTGTATACCTAACTGAGTTTTCAAGTGATTCAGACAGTTCAAGTTTTTTGAGACTTTTATGGTGTAGTGCTGAAAACTGCGAGAAAAAGAATAATTGCGTAAAAATCCAGAATGAATTTATTGGTTTGATCCGGTCTACCTCTCTAAAAAGAGACAATTGGCTCTATACCTGCGTGTTCTCCTGCCTATGGCTGTGATTGAAGGCGTTTCCTGGGGAAGTTTCCTTTGTTCAGGGGATCGCATCACTTTTGTCATGCATCTCATTCTCGTCGCTGTCTTGGTTGCCATCGTTTCCGCTCAGGTAAGCTGGAATCCTCTCCATGTCTGGCAAGAAAGCAGTTTCGAGGAGAGGGTTTCCAGAAACTTCGAACAAAACTTTGCTCGATAGCTTGAAGCGAGTTCGGATGGGGATTATGAAACGAATTCTAACTATAATGGGCTTTTGTTATAGTTCCCATCTACTGGTAAGCTTGTTTCAGGTGTTTCCGGATGGACGATTTAATCCGGCCAGTGAACCACTGCCATGTGGATTTAGTGAGTTATACTCAATCCGATTGCCTCCGACTCAATCAAAGGCCGATTTGATTCTCGATCAGTGAACCTGACATTCACACCAAGTAAATGGAAGGAAACTCACCTGGCCTCCCTCTTCCTTTATCTGAACGTTAAAGCATAGAGCGATTGACTGTCTACATTTTGTGCAGGTTGTTCACGTCGCACTGCGGTTACAGCTATAATAGATGGTGTGTTTTCCAGAGCTGAATGCTCGGATAGAAATGGCAATATCATGGCCCGGTAAATTACTTTCCAGATCATACATGAAAGAAAACATCAACCAAAACTTGTTGATTTAGATGCAGTTCATGCTGTGCTATGAAAGCTCTTTCGGAGGGACTGACGACGGTTAGTTCCCACCATCTCTTCCATTCCAATTAATACTGAACCCCCAAGAATCAGTACAGTTTTCATCCTGAACGCAAGATCGGGTAACCGTGTACTTATAACGATGATTCTTTGGATAGGCTTAGGTATATGGGATTTCAAACATGCCAAATGGGTTATACTAAGGACGTTTTTATTACGGGTCTCATAAAATGTTTAGCTAGAAATAAGTTTAAAACCCATAAGTACCACTTGAGCTATAAACCACTCATTAGAATTTTAGACACATATTAAGATACTATCAGATATATAACAAATTATTTTTCAGCGAGTATAAGTTCATTACTCAATTGAGATTACCTTACCACTCTTACTTATCTATTCTACACTTCTTAACTTACGTATTTATTATATAAAGTTATCATAAGTTTCTATTCTCCCTTACCCTACTGAAGAGCACGGAGAGAGAGTATTGTAAAGTTCGACTTCCGTCTAGGACATGTGCGAAACGGAAGTTGAACTACTTTTTTGATTTGTTCCCCCCTTATATTTTTTAAGACTTTGTCATAATATTATCGTTTGTAATAATTTATTAACCATAACAAACATGTGAATGGTAGAGTACGAAGGCACGTGACCGACTAAAGTACAACGAAATTAAAAGGTGAAAAACGGTCAAGAAAAGCGAGTGAGCGGCACGGACTGAGAGCTGCTGATATCCTGTTACTGTCTCGAGTCATAACGTTCCTTGATTCATTATGATCTTCGAGACATCATAATGGAAGCATGCGCATGTGCAACTATAAATAAAAGGACTTATTGTTGGAGAGATAGGTTTACATTGCAATAAGACTCAAAGATCAAAATGGTATTGTCAGAGACCCGACATTAAAGGCACAGTTCACGATCAGAATGGTTTATGAGTTCTCCTCCGAGGAATACCCAGTGGTCCCCAGGGTAACAAGAAAGACGCTGCTGAGCTTCAAAACTCAACAGCGTCTTTCTTGCCCAGATGCCACGCTCTCGACCGATGACGTGTCAGACGAGGGTCGCAGCGATACAGATTGCAATATTCGATCTAAGACCCACACACAATCAGCTGATCGCCGAGTGATGAGGCGATGTTTTTCTCCCATTCTTTTTNTAGGCAATTTTTTTGTTTATTAATGCTTATAAGTGAATGAATTTCCGCTTACCATTGTCTTTTATTCGCACCAGGACCCACACGTACGCAGTGAGACACACTGTATAGCTCGTAAAAAGCCCTTTCGAAGCATTTTTTCACTTTGGAAACACCGATTCATGCACTTTCTCCGCCCTCATCGGACTAGTTTCCACTTATCTTCCATTTTCGTCTAATCTGGATTACCCAAATTTTCGTGAACTGTGCCTTTAACGATACTGATCAGCCCTCGATAGTGAGGAGATAGTTGTGAGGAAGAAGAGAAAGTTGATGGAAGTGACGTCGTGAGAATACTGTACTTTGTTGCTTACTTCCCCTGAAGTTGCCGTGGGAGCTCGGCTTCAAAAGGTTGAGCCATGCCACGAACCCTGCAGCAACGGATCACCAAGAATCATAGACATTTGTCGGCTTGAAACGGTTGTCGACTGTATGAAAGAAGTTTGGTTGCTCGTCAATGGATGCTGTGGTCCTTTGGAAAAACTCTTCACGTTGGCCACAATAGTCATATACACAGTGGTCGCGCTCTTCGTCTGGTACGTCTCCAAGTTTATTGGTAAGATGGAATGATGATGCGTTTAATAAGGAACGGATTCTGCAGTATGGTCCGGAATGTGACCTTGTACCTTCGTCTAGGCAAAATGAATAAGTTAATGTTAGTCTCAGGCATTAAATCCGTAAATCCCTACATGTCTCTCCTACCGAGTGATTTCCAGGCTTATGTCCTCAAAAATATCCAGGCCACTGACATCACTGACATAGAATTCAAGGTGAAAGCAGCACTGACCGAGTTGATGTTCGTTCAAGGGACTGATTGAGAATCGCTTATATGAGGAATGAGATTCCCAACTGTCAGCCTTTCCTGAACACAGCCTGCAGTCGATCTAAGCGCCGTGATTCAGCCACCTAATAGCTCTTTTGAAAAACTGGTAACTCTGACTGCCCTAGTTTTATGAATTCAATTTACCTGAAGAGTGGGACTGAAACAGAACGGAAGGGCTGAACTTCTCGAAAATTCAGGATTTTCCATTTCAGGATCGCTCCTCAGGACTGCCTTCTGTAGATGGAAGAGATTGTGTTTGCTGTATCAACAACAACCGATGCTAATGAATTACATTTAAAATTTCAATCACTGATGTGTCATCGATTTTTCATCCCAAGGTCAAAATAAAAAGTAACAAATCCGGATTGATAATCGCTGGAAACGATCCTTCCGCCGGGGCCCGCAATTAAAACAGCCTTGCATGAGAGCACGAAAGCGATGACTTGTCTTCGCAGATGTTATTCCTGATCTCCGACTTTTTCATAAAGTTCCTCTTGGATAGGAGGGATAGCAGTTGCCTGCATGACTGACTTCCTTAATTCTACTCCGATCGAACCGCGTCCAGACGCCAGTTCTGCACAAAATTCTCATTTTGCGGAGACCGCAATATGTAAATTATATAAACGTAGACGGATCCAAAATGTCACTATACTGTATACATAGAAGTTGAATGCGGGGAGCATTCCAAAACAGGACTTTTTCAATACCTAAGACTGTACTTTTTCCCAGTCATGTACTTAAACGATATATCAGTGGAGTGAAAGCAAATATAAGGTACGGTGACGGTTTCCTTTCCACAAGTGAATGAGAAACAAGTAATCTCACGCTCTATGAGTAGTAATATTATAAATTATGAAACTGGTTGAGCGCTTTTTAGAAGCGAGTTTCACGATAAAAATGGTTACTGAGTTCTTCCTTTACGAATACTCAGTGGCCCCCAAGGGTAATAGAAAGGACCTTCTCGCGCCTAAAGTTCGACGACTACGGCATAGTAGAAGCCCTGTTCCCGACTCGCGCGACCTTCTCCCCCCTCGATCGATGTCACGACAGACGAGTGCGAGACGATACAGATTGCAATGATTCGTTCTCGGACCCACACCCAATCAGCTGGTCGCGGAGTGATGAGGCGACAGGTTTCTCCCATTCTTTTTGCCTCTTTTATTTTTTTGCTGCCACGATCCCTTATTAAATCCCCTACCCCGACAGGCTAAAAAACGTGAGCTACTTTTGCTGTTACTAGAATTTTTTTTATTACTTATGCTTATAAGTGAATGAAATTTTGCTTGCCGTAATCTGTTATTCGCACCAGGACCCACACGTACGCACCGAGACACATTGTATAGCTCCATAAACGCCTCACTCTTCTTCAATTATTCTGATACAATTTGGCTCATCATAAGCCAAAATTGGGATTACTTGGGAAGAACTAAAGCAATGATAGACTAGTTAACAGGTAATATTAGTTTCTGTTTCCATTTATCCGAGCCTCGTTGGAGCACTTCGTTACGGGATTCAATTTTCTCGGAGACCCATGAAGGGACAGTCTAACGCTCAGGTCTTAACTCCTGGTTTCTCTGGAAAAGCCGTTTGCTGGACGTAGGTTTGAAGAACCTAAAAGACCACATTCTCCTGAAAGACCACTTTCTCCTGAAGAAGGAGATTCACCACAGTTGAAAATCGAAGCAATTCAATATTGACAATTATAATTTCAATTTTCCAGATCGGTGAAAACGATGACATTTCCAAGAAGAATGTGTTTTCGTGCGCCACGTTGATAATTTGGCTGGCCACAACTGATGATGACACCCCATATCTATGAAAGCACAGAATATAAAACGAATTGCACTTCTCTCTTGAATGACTATTCCATTAGACACTTCTCTCCTGAATGACTATTCCAATAGCTTCTGATTTTCTTCGCCATCGCCTTCACAGCTTGTATAGGTCTTCATTCTCCATTCTGCATTGTAGTTAGTTTTGGATAACGCCTTCTTTTCGTTGCAGTCCGGTTACCTAGCTTATTCTGAAGTACTGTTGATCACTCCATAAATTCATCATAGTACCTATCCGAGTGTATCATTAACCTTCACCTCTAAAAAGAATAGCCGAATCTACTCGTATGCTTGTTGTGGTAGTGAACCGCTTCATTGAATCTTTGTGCTTTTTTGGAATTTTTGAGTCCTGTAATAAATCTATAATAGTTTGATAATGTTTTTCAGTCCCGTACCGTATGAGACTGACGCTTTGTCCATAAATCGCCAACCTTGTGAGAGTTTAATAATAATTTTAAGGGCAGAGGTAGTGGCAAGTGGCGCCCACTATCTCACACATGATCGGGGATTAAATACCGATCGTCCCAAGCTAACCCATCTATCTTTTCGGGGTCTCTAAATTGGTACGAGACTTGACTGACTACCGTAGGTCTTTGTATAAGCCTCGTATGCATACATAACGACAGTATGATGCTGATAGGAAGTCAATTGCGAAGTGTATCCCAGGAACGGGATTAATAATGCTTCAAAACTTATTTTCTAACCCTTGATCCGAAAGTGCTGAGGAATGTTCAAGAACACCTACTTTAGTAAGCCTGGTTTTCATACCCGAAAAACACCAAATAGCACTATTCGAGCCGAAAGAGCGGTTAGAGTGACTTGAAGGTTTTGGATTTTTTGAGAGAATGAAACAACGGCTAGATATATGGGTTCAACATTGAAAATTCATGTGCAGGTGAATTCACAACCAAAGAAGCCAACTATTCAAGGCTCGAGTCAGCTGCATGGCTTATAAGGAAAAAGTTACCCAATGTTGACTAGCGTATACCTCATATCATTTTCAAGTAATTCAGGTAGTATTTACCGAAATTTTCATGGTATAGCGCAAGAAATTGCGAAAAAAAATCAATTTCCAAAGGAAACCGAAAAAGATGCATGTAGTTTGACACGGTCTCCTTCTATGAAATAGGATTTTTGACTTTATACTTGGCAGCCCTTCCGCCTGGGGGACGGTCAAGTCGTGCGTCTGAGGGTGCGCGCGGCAAATTGCGCGGCGAAACCCATACCTATTCTGACGACTTTATTTGGGCCCACTTTCAAAGTACAGTAGAATAGTAGGATCAGCTGACCTTACTAATTTACCTTACTTCAGATTTGGGCCCCAATTATAAGTTATAAGTTATAAGTTTATTACGCCTGCGGAAGGCAAACGTGAGAAAGAAAAGAAAACACAACGTAGATATTAAACATGTGTACAAGCAGTCGATGCACAATACAAAGATAAATCAGTTAGTTAATCAGTCTCAAGAAACGTTAGGACCAGTTCCCTTCAGCAGCAACTTAACTACTTGGCGTTTGAACTGTGCTAGCGATGAAGAGACGGGTATATTTTTCACCACTCTTAGATAATCACTGCCAGCCCTGAAGGTAAAGCTGCTCG